CGGAAAAAAAGGTTTTTAAAAAAAAAAAAAAAAAAAAAAAAAAAAAAAAGGCATTTATATCTTAAAAACTACAGCAAGAGAAAAGAAGCTATGTTATGCAGACCAGGTACAAATAACTGAAGATGAGACAATGGCATGAGCTGCCTTACTTCAATTGAGAAATCTTCCAGAGCACTGTCAGACTCAATCTTTTTAAACAGAAGTTCGGTTTTTCTATCAGATTCCATCAGTTTTGTCAGAAGGAATTTTCCAGGCTCCAAAACAAGGGGTTCCATCTCCTAAAAAGGTAAGGAAGTCAGTCGGATCTTTTGAATATCAGGCCCTGACCTTAGTATAGTATTCTAGACTATCTGGATTAGAAAATCCAGTCTTACCCTGGCAATGCAGGCAAGCTCATGACGCATTGAGGTTAGTGCTTCATCATGACGGCGTCGCCGGCGTTCTGACAGGCGTTCCAAGATATTACTGCTGGTTTTCTCAGGAACTGCCAAGAAAGAAATGAGGATTATGTAGCTTGGAACTGTTGCTGCAGAATACATAACGCATGCACAATGAATCACTAAATCCACACTCTGACTTCTGTAGTTTGTGCAGCTCTTAGAGTGCGTGACAGCTTTCCATGGGAAGGAAAATCTATGCAAATGTAGGTTAAAAATAGTAAAGCGTATTTAAAAATTTCCATTGATTTTATTAATTTGTGATTTTCAGAAGGATAAAAGCATGGAAGCTATGAACTAAGTTCAGGTATGATGCAAAAAATTGCAACTTCCAAGAATAAGATATGCTTACATCATAACTGGAATTTACCATCTAGACACAAAGGGTGATCAACAATTTTACAACAATTTTTTCCTGTGAGTAGACTTTTCATCTTCAAAATTACCTACAAATCATTAAAAATGTGTCAGGTCATTTCTGAGCTTGATTTTATACCTTGTTCAGCTAAAACCATTATATGTAGGGTGGCTCCTAAGAATGCAAATTAAAATATCTGACATTAAGGGAAATAAATTTTACCAACAAAATCAGGTAGGCCTCTGACTTCCTCAGCTGCCTTTACATCTACACTTTTCCAAGCCTTTTGAAATGTTGTAGCTTCTCTGAAACAGAAAGAGAATAAATCTTTGATTTGTACTAAATACATAAGAGGAGGGACTTGCAATGGGTATAATATTGAATTTAATTGGCAAAAATGTAACATTTAAGCAAACACAAGCATCATTCTAAGTTCAATGAATATGATTCGAAGGATCAATGTTGCTGCTTCTGAGACAAATTGAACGGAGTAATTATCTAGCCTAACCACATACTTCAAATCTGCTATGATGGCATAAAAGCAATAAATGCTAGATTTAATATGGGTAAACTACAAAGACATACATAGTATCCCTAAAAGGTATAAAAATCCAGGAATTGTCAAGTAAGAACTAGCAAGAAATACGGAAATAGCCTTTATCTGG